GCAGATTTCTTCAATTGTACCGGCTGCAGATGGAATGTGGAGACAAAATTGTAAAGTAGCGAACTATTGAAGAACTCAAACACCCGAAAGGGCAACCTTTTTGCCCAAAACGTTTGCACCATGCTTTATGGCCCGAGGGATCTTCTGTTTTGTCAGTGACACAGCAAGCTATTTATACACTTTATAAATATTCGCTCGACGTTTGATTTGATCTTTTTTACCTGTTCTGCGGTTATCAGCACAACTATGGTGATATTTCCCTCTTCGTTAAGTGCCCGCTGTTTTCAAATATGGCACAGCTGTCTGGATCAAGGAGCGAAGTGAACTTGCGAGAGGTACTATCGATCGACGGGATGGGATCTCGATTATGCCGAAGTCCCTGGAGGCCAAAACTAGTTTGTTATTCGGAGCAGAAGGGGAGGAGCCTTTTTCAACAATCACTAATTTATGTATCCTTCTGTTTATTTTTTCACCGCGTAAATCTGCATAGCTTTAACGCTCTCGTACGTGGAGCTATTTGTCGATATACTATTTACTTTTGTCCAAACCCTTGTTTCATATTTGGTCGAGTCTGAAACTCTCTTTCCAAGTACTCGACAAAAAAGCTGCTACAAAATTCTACGGACAAGTGTAATATTTTATTTGACTTGCATGCTGATAACGTTATTTAACACATTTGTTATTTTGTGGAACAGGAGTTGACCTTTTGTTGCTATGGCAATATACAACAAATCTCTCTATTCATTACAAATTGGGTAAGGAATAAATACAATCATGTTACAAATTAATTTTAAAGCCCGGAAGCGACTGTTTGTCTAACAGGCGTTTCATTTTACTCTGTAACCATTAGAACCGAAAACCTTACAAAGAAAACGTATTAGAAATAAATTCACAAATATTGACTGTGTGCTGTCTAGCAAGGGAAATAATTCAAGTTAATTAGTGATAATCATAGTTCATCAAAATTTTCTCCAAACAATCTTTTAGTTTCATTTTATTTCAATTTATCAAAAAGAGTGCTTTCATTCACAACTTCTTTGAATTTTCAAACTTTGGAAAAAAGATCCATGAGCAAATTGATCCCACAATCTAGTGATCCTTTTCAATGATCTTGTTTGTTTTAAATTTTAATCTTACAATTATTGTAAGTTAACTGTGATTAATACTTTACAATTTAAAATTTTAGAATTCTTGCCAAAGTCTTCAATTAGTGGTGTTAAAACTGCTAGCTAGCATTTTATTGATATTAAAATAAAGTTATTATTAGTAATGAAATAAAATAAAATTTGAATTATGTTTTAATATTTGAAATAATATTTGAATTACGTTTAAAATAAAATTGAATTATGTCGTTTTGGGGACGAAACTTTTGAGAGCTTGTATCTCATACAGATATTGAATTAATTCACTGACGTTAGAACAGTTTTCAATTGAGTGTCAAAAGTAATCAGGAAATTACTTCGGTTTTGGCTTTGGTTTAACTACAGTTTGAGATTGGCCAGAAAATAGCCATACTTCCCCTACAGAAGGAATTGGTATTTCCTGGGAGTGTGTGATTCTGTGAGACCAAAAAATGTAAAGAAATGTATGAAACCTAATAATTATTGGAATTTCCAGATGGCTGGCGGGTTTATAAAAAAATCCCTTCTGTCGGGGAGGTATGGATATTTTCTGACATGCATGGAAACTAGCTAGTCTGAGATAGGGCAGGGGTTATTGGTGCCTAGTTTAGAACAGGGTTGCAAAATCAAGTTCATCATAGGGTAAGGCTGTATTTAGGTAACACCATTTATATGGGAATACCAATAAATTGTTGTTGTTGTTGTTGTTGTTGACAGGCTCCATGCTTATGATCTTATTCAGATGACTTGCTTGCAAGTCTTACACAGTGGTGCCTAAACAGTGTTAATTTTTGCCGTCAAATGGTACAAATATTGAGTATGGTGGACACATAAGGAATCTCTTAAAGAATCATGCTAAAAGAGCTTGTAATACAAGCCAGACAACATAATAAAAGTTTTAATTGAAGCAAAAATGGAGCAGAACATGCAATGTTAAATAACATCAACATCATACTGTTTTTTCAACTAATTCTATACTTACTAACTTGATAAGCTACTTTTTGCTACTGTGGAGCTTTAGAATTAAGTAAAGGGTCACTACATTTTAATGAAAATAGATGTCAATTTGTCATTGTTTAGACTTATTGAAAAAGTTTAGTTTAAGGCCATGTAGCTAATATTGCAAGTAAATTCCAAATTTAAAAGGTTGCATTCCTTTTGATGCATGTTAGTAATGATAATCATAAAAGTAAAAACTCATTTATTTGCGATGTAATAAGGTAATGCCTTATGGACTATAATTTGGCAAATAGATAACTTCTGCATGAATTCATTGTTAGATGGTCTGTGTTTGAAAGTGTGCATAAACATTAAGAATTTTAGTTTACATTCCCTATTAAAGACAGAATTTGATTCTTTCACATGGTTGTCTGGCTATGAGGGTTGAGAATTGTATCAAGATTTACCACACCTAGAATTCAGAACTGGCCAGTCAGAACGTCTGCGGTCATGATATCTTATGATATCAAGGGCCGCACTGACCTGATAAACCCGGATTCAGGTATGGTAAATATCCAATGATAAATCTTTTGTATCATTCAGTGGTGTAGCAGGCGAGTTTAGTGGAGCCATGGTTCATGCTTTGGCAAGACACAAGAAAGCCAAAATGGGAATCATGGTTCAACCAAACTTGTCTGATATGCAGCTGAAGATACCAGAAAGGTGTAACTAGGAATAAGTATGACAAACACTGCAGAGCCATTATACTGACTATGATGGCAAATTCGGCCACCTACTCCATCAATAGAGCTGCCTACAGCAAAACCCTGTGACAACCCTCTGCATAACCTTTTGTTTCTTGATGTTCCTGTTGCTGTCTTTCAGACTACCTCAATTTGTCAATACTGATTTTTGACGCAGAATAGATTCACAGTGACAGGTTATGCTTTTTGTAAGTCTCTGTGTAGTCTAGGCTCCTTCGCAGCCATTATTAGGGTCCTGTTGCGTGACGACCCTAATAACGGCTGCAAAAGAGACTATGTATAGTTCACCGGACCTTCACATGGGCCCTACCATGTTGATTTATCCATTTATGAAAAATCAAAGTCATCTCTGAGGTCACTGTACTCCAAGACATGCTTCCTTATTTTTGAGGTATCTGTCCAAGTAACAAAGTCCTCCATGTTCCTGGTAACAAGAAAAGCGGGATCCATTATGACTTCGGGCCCAACTCTCACATGACCTTGTTCAATGTACTTCACCGCATCTTTGATAGCTTGAGCCATTCTCAATCGCACCATAACAACAGGCAAGCGCCGCCGACAGAGCGCAGAGGCGCTTAGCTTATCGCACAAAGACAAGTTGTTTTTAGCTTTGATTAAGCCAAGTGAGTACAATTTCTCCAACAACTGTTCTGTGGCTTCGCCTCGAAATGGATCTTTAGGATCGAGCTGTTTAATTTTCGCGGCGAGTGATTTCGCCATCCCACAAACTTTGTTGTATTTGGTGTAATCTTCTCTCTTCTGGATGTGGTACTTTCGAAGCACCTTCACTTCGCGTATGTTATTGTCGCTTTTCCATGAAATAAAGTCGACCTTTTTCAAGAGTTTCTTCTCGTGAAATTTCAGTTTTCTCACCATTTTCACAACACGAGGAGAAACAACTAAACCCAGTCCTTTCGCTTTTGAACGTAATACCGCTGGCTACAAACTACCGTAACAATCTGAGTCCCAGGCTCTTCTCTGCTTTCGAATCCAACATGGCGGTCGGTCCTCGAGAACTGGCGTGGTAACAAGCGAGAGAAATGTTGTATCTTGTTGGTCTTGGTTTAGGAGATGCCAAGGATATCACGGTTAAGGGACTAGAAATCGTTAAAAAGGCAGACTACGTCTTTCTGGAAGCATATACCTCCATCCTTTGTGTGGGAAAGGAAGTGTTGGTAGGTACTCAAAGTACTCCTACATATCAAATAAGAATGGGGGAAAGAGAGGAAGATGTAAACAGGGCAATCAGGGTGCAAAGAGAAGTAATTTTCGGTCTTTCTCTTCAGGCAAGCTGTGACTTTAAATTAAAGTAATACGATAATTTCATCACTAACAGTGCTTCTTTAATTTGAATTTCCTCGAAAAGCTTTCTAGAAACTTACTGATAATATATTGATCAGTCCCTATTTATCTTTAAAATATATTTCAGGAAGAATTTTATGGATGCAAAATCGAGTTAGCTGATAGGGAAACTGTGGAACAAAATTCTGGTGGGTAGTTTATCCTTTGACAATGTTGTTGTTCGTCCTTCGTAGTCGAAGATGACCAAAGACATCTAGTTTGTTAATAAATTTCTACGGTGTGTCTGGAGGTGGCTGATGAGACCAATCCGGGCAAGGAAGCCTCTCCCACAGGTAGGGCACAAGTGGGTAGGGGCTGTGCTGTTAGTGCTGGCAGCTCTTTCCTTGCGTACTGCTCGCTTCTCCTCGGCTTGACTTGATTGATTGATTGATTGATTGATTGATTGATATACAGATTAGTTTGAGCAATATCACAGAGCTAAAGCTAACTTTTTTCTGTCCATAGATCTTCTTTTGGAGCATGCTAAGGACAAAGATGTGGCTTTCTTGGTTGTTGGAGATCCATTTGGGTGAGAAAGGAGCAACATTTGTTTATAGAAATATGACAACCGAGTAATAAACTTGAGAAACTGTCATTACTATCACAGTCTCTGAACTGTAGATGAAGTACAATCACTGAATATTTCCTAGTGTTTCAGACCATAAGGTTTAGAATCATCATCATAATATTGTTTTGAGGCAATATATTAGAGCCCAGTTCATACTATAGAGCATCCAGTTTAGTTTTTGTGGAATGTAAGATGGGAATTAAAATTAAGGTGGGACTTGACCGATACTTGACATGTTGAGGGCAGGATATGGGATAAATAACCACAGTAGGGAATGGGATATACTGTATTTTGCAGTCATAGTGAAGAATGTTTGGAGTAGTTGAACGGGACAGTGAATCATGTGTTTTGAATTGTGTGGCTTTGCACCATGCCAACACAGCATACAAGCAAAAAAAATGTGATCATTGTACTTGGCAAGCCTTTTGAATGTCACAGACTGTAGTCTATCATTAATATGGAAAGTACAGATCTAATCTGATTCACCTTGCTGAAAGAGAGTTCCATCAATGATAAAATATGACAAGTTTAAAATAATAATTATTATAATTATTATCATTCAATGCATTTTTTTTCTTCCTTTCCACTGGCCGAGAGCCAACCATATGACCTGCACATAACTGCCTACAAATAATGGTCTGCTCATGTGTAGTGCTGTCTTAATGTGTTTTGCTTCAAACAGTATTGTGCTCATGCATAACTGTAACCATGATCTGTAGTGAAAAATGGCAGATTGCTCCCCTGAGCTGTCAGAGAGTGATTAAACAAGAAAACAAATGTGGTGATCGAATGATAAAATAATTATTGAACTCGGTTATTGCAAAATATCATTGTTTGTCAGGTCTCGCAGATCAATTATTTTCCTCAGCCTTCGGCTTTGGCAAATAACTGACCTGCTCTCCACTGACAAGTGACGATATGTTGCTCAAACTCATCCAATAATTATTAAATATTAACTTTTAGGGCTACTACTCACGCAGACCTCGTGTTGCGAGCATGTCAAATGAACATTTCTTACCAAGTCATTCATAATGCTTCCATTATGAATGCAGTTGGATGCTGCGGTCTTCAGGTAGTTATTAATTTTGCTATAGTGTACCTTTGCTATGAGTAGTTTGACCATGGAAATCATTTTATCGTGAAGATTTACCTTTTGTCCCTTTTCTGGAGGGGAAAGGCAATTGTCATGCATTTTGTGTTCTCCAGAACTTTCAGTCTAGTTTCTGAAATGCCATAGAAACATGGAAAATGTTGTCTATTTCTTTAATAATTGTATCTATAACAACATTCTTGATTGTAATTGGTTCTCCATGTACCTACTTGTCATGTAATCAGTGTGCTATCGCATGGATGTCCAATTACAGGTATTCATTTACAACTTTTTGTAACTGGATACCTGTAATTGGATACCTACACCATTTGCACTTAAATATGTGTAACATGGACTTTAATGGCTTCCTTATTGTTTCCCACAGTTTTTCAAACTTATGAAAAGCGCTATTGACTTTCCAATTTTGAAATTTGTTGAAATTTGTTGTTGATATGATTAATTAGTAATTGGATGTTGTGTCCTACAATTTAGGGTGTAATAACATTTGTGCTCATAATTTCAAATCTACCTTGTGGTGTGCGCTCATCTGGTGTTGAATATATTATTGTCCATGATTAATTATCTTGACACTGTATCATTTACATGCACTCTAACTTCCAGTTATACAACTTTGGAGAGACAGTCTCCATTGTTCTGTGGACAGACAACTGGAAACCAGACAGTTTTTATGATAAAATTGCATCTAACAGAAAACAAGGTCTTCATACACTCTGTTTATTAGGTAAGTGATAACAGAAAATATACCTTTAAATTAAGCCCCAAGGGCAATTTTTCCTCTTCAAGGACTTTGAAACTGTCAGATTTTATTTCTTTAGCTGGTAATTTTTAACTTACATGTACAGGTAGTGTGTGGTAAAAAAGGTAAAGTCTGGATAAAGTAGCCAAGTGGCAAATCTTGCTGGGACTTATCCCAGGTTCTGTAGCATGAAGTGACTAGGGGTATTTTTTCTATCCCCTGGATGGAATGCTAGTCCAACGCAGGGTTACCCCCAGCATTAAATTTGTCAGTACCCATTTATACACCTGGGCAGAGAGAGGCACTGTGAGAGTAAAGTGTCTTGCCCAAGAACACAACACAATGTCCCCAGCCACAGCTCGATCCAGAGTCGAGCACACTAGCCATGAGGCTATCGCGTGTGGTACCCTTAAGAATATCTTGACTAGTATTGTAATTTCAGAGGTGCAATATGTTACACCAGAAAGCAAGATTCTGAAGGTAGCAGGAACTGGGTGAAATAGGGAAAAATCATGACATCCCTCACAGAGGCAGGAGCCATTACAGAACGAGTAGGAACTGGGATTGAAAATATACCAAATGCAATAAGTTCAGTCCCCCTTCCCACCCCTCTGTTTACTTCTTCATTTCGATCTTGATAATTTAGCTAGTTTAACTGACTGAGCAGAGTTTAATATCTTTTATATTACCTGTATTCGTGTTTTTTTGTATTTCTGCAGACATAAAGGTTAAGGAACAGTCCGTGGAGAATCTAATGAAGTTAGTGAGACAAAGTTGTTCTGAGTAAACAAATAAATGTTTTTTTCTTCAATTGGTACCATCTTTTCTAATATTATTACGGGCTGACTTAACTACAACAATGCATATTTGTATAATTTTACTGCTACAGGGGTAGGAAGATATTTGAACCGCCACGCTACATGAGTGTGAATGAAGCTGTAAGTCAGTTGCTGGATGTGGTCAATAACAGAGATATAAAAGGGGAGCCTCCAGGTAAAGTAACACGCTGTTATCCAAAAAGGAGATGATTGACCTAAAGTCAGAACCTAATTTGAAAACGCAACAATCACCGGTCATTTTGGATTTGTGCTTGAGGAAAACTCGTCACGGAAATCACATGATTATCGTTACATATATGTCATCGTTTTCGAAAAGCTCCGTTCCTAAACTGTTTTCCGTCCGCACTAAAACGTAAAGCCAGCGTTTTCAAATTCCTCTGGTCTGAAGAGGTTTTTCGAAAAGCTCTGTTTTCGTGACGGATTAGTGTAGACGGTAGGCCTAACCAGAGAAATTAGCCTGCGTTTGCAAATTTCTCTGGTGTAGCGTGGACGGGGCTAAAGTAAGCACTGCCGGTCGGTCACAGCAAACGTAAATTGCCCAGTTAACCAATGAGAGCTCCAGGTTTAAACAGCCAAACCTTGGCAAGCGCGGGAGAACATGCAACGCGAGCGCAGCGCGGAAAATGCGCTGAGCTAAGTTGTGATTGGTTAAGATTTGCCTCCTGATTGGCTTAAAAACACAGCATATTACCCTAATTGGTCAGAACACGTTAGATGAGTTTTTATGAGGCTAGCAAACGAGAAACTGAACGTTCTGTTGAATAAACCAAAACATTTTGTAACAATAGTTGCCATAATAAAAAAAAAACTCCTTGTTGTGGTAAAATTAATTTAGGTCCAGCCAGGAAACGGTTGATTTTTATAAAATAACTGAGCTACTACGCGTGCTCTCATTGGTCGATAGGTGTGTTTAGATAAGAGTATGTAAACACGGTTGTGACGTTTTAGCTTCGCGCGTATTTTTGAGAATTATTTTATAAAAGCAATAGAACACTTTTTCCGTGTTTACATGGCCTCATCTAAACACTCGGGGGTGGAGAGACGTAGTCGAGGGTTTGCATAACTGTCTTGAATTCTCCGAACCCTCCTCGTGTTTAGATGAGGCTATGTAAACACGGAAAAAGTGTTCTATTGCTAAAGTGGTGAACAAGGCAAGAAAATGCTACAAAAGCCGTTTTATCCAAGCACAATTTATCGATTAAGAGAACTCAGGCCAGAGGCTTTTGAATAGCTTAGTGACAGATCAAATTCTTTAGTGTTGAAGATCAAACTTGTCAAACTTCAGAAATTGTATGTTGCTTTATTTCTGTGAAGATTGTTTTCTCTTTAATTAAGAGACGTTTTGCTCCTAACCAAACTTGCGATGATTCGTGAGCAATCGTTTATTGAGTCAAAACCCTTTCGCCGAGAAAGTCTGGCGCAGCAGAAAGTTTGTTTATGAAACTTTAAAGTTTTCTGGCGAATCGTTGAAGGTTAACTGGCAAAATATCACAAGTTTGGTGGGGAGCAAACATTAGAGGAAAACCCTCTTTTCGCGCCAGTTGCCGCCTTAGAGGCAAGTGAAAGTAAATATACTTTAGCCTCAGTTTACATGTATGAGTGATTTCAAATGTGTATTAGCGTAATTTGTTTCCTCTTTATACTTCGAAATCATTGCAGACAAAAAGAGGCTTTCGTATTGATTCGTGCATTAGTCTACCAGGCTAAATCTTGTACTTATTATTTTTCTCTATTTTTGTTAGCTTACACAGAATCCACAATTGCAGTGGGCCTGGCACGAGTTGGTGCAGCCAATCAACAGATAGTATGCGGTAGCATGAAGGAGCTGTTGTCACATGACCTCGGTCCGCCATTGCACTCACTTATTATACCTGGACACTTACATTTTATAGAAAAAGACATGCTTAGACTATTCGCTTTGAATCCTAATATACTTGACGAAAGCTGACCTGACAGTAATTCTAGATTGGTTTTAACAAAATGAGATCCACCATGCCTAAATTTTTCAAGTTCGTCGTTTGTAATCCTTGTTAATCTTCTCCATCCTAAACAATCCTTGTTCTAGTTAACTATAATTTTCAGATTTCCTTCAATCTAAAGGTAACTTTATTCGAGGCCAAGAAAACTCAAAATGCCGTGAATGAGCTCCTTGTAAAGGAGGCTGCCTCCCAGAACATCTTCAGAACATTTACCAATTTGCCCACTGATGTTGTTTCGTTCGTAATCCGTGTTAATCTTCCCGAGTCCTAGCCATCCTTGTTTATTTATTTTCAGTTTATTGTTACTTCTTTAGTGTTTTTCTTCCTGAGTAAACAATTATTTGAGTTTTCTTTTGATTTGAAAGTACAGTAATTTTGAACATCAGAAAAGTAGGCTTCGAATCGACGAGAACTTGCTGTTGAAAAGAGCTCAGATTTTACTCGCTCTCTTCTTTGAAAACCAGCTCTGTCGAGTTCAAATCTTCTCATCGAATTTTACACCTGCTCAAATTTTGTCTTGCGTGCCTCCTAGTCATGTCACAAGCAGACGATATCAATACAACAAAAGCCCGAAATCCGTCTGTGTTCGCAGGCTATGTCAACCCTCGCTTACTCTCAGGTCGTTTGACTGTGTCCATTCGTCCAATTGTTATCCTTTAGTGTACTTTAGTCGACTCTCGTTCGGGTTTGCCTGTGGGAACGCCATGTTGAAGGGATCAAGACTCTCGTCCTCTCTTTTTTGTGGGGTATGGATTGGGAATTTTGGAATCGCTTACCAATATTTTTACCCATCTAGATAATATTTAGGTCGGCACCTTCATACTGAGTCGTTGGCTTAGATTATCGTCTTCAAAGACACCATAGCACTTGTTTTTCTAGCTGGGGGGGTCAACAAGGCTTGAGCCACGCCTAGATTGGTTTCTTTTAGGGGTTTCCACTTCAAAAGTTTATGATGTAAATTTATTATGGGAGCCGTCGCGTGAACGGTCGATCACTAAAGGCACCGGTCTAGTGTTCACGCGCAGCTCGTCCCGTTTAGGGCAAGACCAGTTCTAAAAATTGACCTGCTTTTTAGTAGGTCCAAAAATGTGATGCGGCTTGGCAGCGGGAAGACACTACGCATAGCAGACAAAGACCAAACTGGTCCTCATTCTTGTCCCAAGAACCATCTGTCCGTTTTGGTCGGCGGAACCCTGGCGCGAGGAAAACGTAGCAGTCTGGAGACACAGTAACTGCTTATATATATACTGGACTGAGATTTTCCCTTAGTCAACTCTGGTTTTCTTCACGAAAATGTCCTCTGGTTGATCTCTACTGAGCTTCGACCGTGCGATCAAATCACTACAAACCTCGACAGATTTTAACAAAGGGAGTTAAAAGAGAAGTAAAATTCTGACTGGAAGTGGCGAAGTTTCCGTTGTTCAAAGCCCGATTATTCCTAAACATCGATTAAACGAAGGGTTAAATCTAACCATGCTCGCTAGGTGGATTATACGATTAATTCCTTAATCGGTAGATTAAAAAACAAAAGTCACAGCAAAAATGGCTAACTTGTTGTATGGTTATGTCGGTGTTGATGGGCGAAGCTGAAAAGAAGCAAAGACAGTTTAGGAGCACCGGGTTTACGATTAAAAGATATACAGACGAAGAAAATACGACAGAAACAAAAGTCCAAAGTCCGTTAATTTTCACTTCGCTGTGTTTCTTAGCGAAGTACAGTGAAACCTGTATTAAGCGGACCCCATATTAAGCGGACACCAGCTTGAGTCCCTAATTTGTTTTCCTACATTTACAGTAAAATAAGCCCGCATTCAGCGGACACCCCTGTTACGCGGACGCGGACACCAATATAAAGTCATTTTGTTGCACAAAACCTGCAATAAGCGGACACTTCGAAAGCATTTTACCTCTAAAAGTTCAGCTGAGACTCCTTTAACATTGTTCAGCGACGTCGCTTTAAAGCTAAGTGATTATTTCAGATTGATGCATTGACTGACTGGACATTGTGCTGTGAGCAGTCTTTGATCTCACAC